AAGAAGAAGAAGAAGAAGAGGAGAAGAGTAAGCAGTTGGGAAAGCAAACTCTTTCATGGCCAATGCAGATGAAATTCACATTTTTCTGAGGTTTTCATGGTAAGTTTTTGTTCTTCCACAGTGCAGCTGATAACAATCTCTGTGATATTCTGTGCAGGAGCAATTGCAGGTTGGTGCTGATGCCAGTTTTAACCCAAGAATACCTTGCCTGCAGTTGGAATCTGGTCTCTGGTGTCTCTGTCGTGTTTTTACATGCTTGGCAGCAGAGTGCTAACGAAGGCACTGTGCTGAGAGGGTGTGCTGGTTTTATGGTTAGCTAAAACACAGATTTAGGTTTGAAAATGAAGGTGCTGAAAACTAGATTAATGAGGTCTGGATAAGCAGTTAAACAGTGCCTAATGGATTAAATTACAATAAACACTTAATGTGTACTTATTTTTTGCAGAAAGTTGCATTGTGTTGTCCAATTATTAGAGAAATTTCTTAGGCTAGAAGGAACAATTGCTGAATTTTCATATCCCCATTAAATTAATTAATTTATGGTTATTATCTTTTGAATTATTTTGGGTTTGGGCAGCAGTTTATTTATTGGTACAGTGGCTACCAATCTTCTTGTCATGAGCCATGACACAGTATTTCAGTGGACAAAATCTTAAATCTTCCCTTCTTGTGGCAAAATTTACAATATTAGGAAATTACATAAATAATAGGCCAAACACTCATTTTTGCACGTGGCTTTATTCTTGAGTATGTGCAATGAGAACACTTAGGCATGTGAAGTGTGTATTTAACATTTCAAAATGTGAATATGGCCAGCAGAGGAGCTCAGTGGTAACCTGAAGTTTGTGTTTATATCCCATGAGTGGTGCAGACCTCAGCTGCAAAGCAGCGAGCCAAGGGCGACTGCACAGTCCTGAAGCTGACAGTCCTTATGTAAGGGTAGCCTTTCTGGTAGAAAGTACCGCAAAATTAGGAGCTTTTTGCCTGCTGATGAGAAAGACTAAATCTGTAGTCAAAGGGTTGAGTTTGATAAGAGAAGAGTAGGAACGGGCTAACAAAGAAGTTTATTTTGTGGGTTTCTTAAAAAAATGCTCCAACAGTTTTCCAATGTCCAGGTACTGGTTCATTGTGTGTCCTTTATGTTTTCTGTTTTGGGGGGAAATGGTTGCTGTGTGTTACACCTCCAGGTCTCGATACCAGTATTTTTGGATGTAACATCACCAGGCTGGCATTAATATTTGAAAAGATTCTAAAAAGGTACCTGTGTAAACTGGAATAATGGGAGCATGGGAGCCTGTAGCCAGTGTTAGAGCAGCAGGTTACTTGGCTGTACAGTTGTATTCCCTCTAAAGAAATTAACTGAGCAGGGTATAATGAGCACTGCCTGGTTCCTGGGAGTTGAGGGGGAAGGAGTAAAACCGGAGCAGAGCTCGTGCTGCTGTTTTTTGAAATCAGGGTGTGAGAGGAATTTGGAGCAAGAAAATGTTTGGGCAACCTTTTTCCTTTTGTCTGGAGAAAGGAATAAAGAAAAGGAAAAAGGGGAAAAAAAGAATAAATCAGTTCGTTTAAGAATTTTTTTGGGGGGGTGTTATTTTTTAAGGGACTAGTTAGAAGTTCCTGCCAGGAAAAATCCTCATGATATGTTAGGGAATTTTTCCTTGCACGTGGAGGAGGAGGTCAGCAATAAGACAGGGACTCCTGAGAGACCCGTGTTCCACCACTGCAACAAGCCCATCTTCCTTCTGTGCCAACATCAGAAAAGAAATTCTCTGATGCTGGTAGATCCTGCAGCTGAAGGCTTTGGTTTACAGGAATCAGAAGGGAATAGCCAGTGATCACATCAGAGGGGCTGGGGGGGACAGAGCACCTCCCAAATTGACACTGGAAATGCTCCCTCCATCCCTGTGAACCTGGAACCACGCTTGCCACACCTCCACACTGAGTGGGAAGCTTTCTTTGACACCCTTAAAAGCAATTTAATAATTCTATTTTCCAGCCAGGGTTTAAATAAGACCATCATCAACAGATTAGAGACTGAGTAAAAGAGCATTAAAAAACACACGGCTGCTCATTAAAAGAGTTTAATCTAATCTGTGCCCTCAAAAAGGTGGGCAAACACAATACAGATGAACCACTAATTACTACACCGGCATGCTGATGTGTAAGATGAACAAATTAAAGCTAAATTCTCTGTTCTGATACTTTTGAGCACTAGACTTTGCAAATGTAATAGGATTGAACGCGTTATTTTATGTACAGTATGTATAAAATACTGTCAGTTTTGCTAATGCAAATGGTGCTCTTCAGAGGAGCCCTTTTCTAGAGGGAAGGTCACCCAAAATCCTGGAAAATTTTCATTTTATATCAACAAAGAAATAATAAACATAATTTTAATCCCTTAACATTTTCCCTACAATTCTAATGGATACTTCTCCTTAATAGGAGAACAAAAATCAGAGTGAAGATTCCAGAGAAAAGTTCAGTCAAAATAAAACCAAAAAGAATTTGCAGGCTGTTCTCAAAAGAGTGCATTTCAGGAATTTATTTTTTTTCAATGTCCTTGGAAACATATCAGGGAGTGATAAGGAATGCAAAATTTTGGGGGAGTTATTTTATTACACATAAAAAAACCCCAACCCAAACAGAAAACAATCAACCCTCCACTCAAAAAAAACCCCCCTCTAAAAATCCAAACAAAAAAACCCAAAAAACCAAAAGCCCACAAAACAACCAATCAACCAAACAAACAAACCCGACCAAACCCAACCCAACCTGACCAAACCAAACCAAACCAAACCAAAAAAATAAATTAAAGAAAATCCAACAAACAATAAAAAAAAAAAAACAAAACAGAAGAGAGAAAATGCTTAAAGACATGTTTGTCTCAACCCCAGATTCTTACCTTATCTGGAAAGTAGCTATTGCAAACTTTCAATGCAAGATCAGCACAAAGACAGAGATAATGCAAAGGTTACGAGGATGGTTTTGCTTTGTATGGATTGTGGAAAGACAGATGCGGTGATTTTTTTTTATTTGATTAAAAACTGTAGCTTGTTTGAACTTTCCAAGCATGTTTTAATTGGATTGCAATTTATACTGATTTATACTGAATTATACTGATTCCTCATCAATGAAATTTTAAATAAATAATGAATTTAAGCTGTAACTGGAGTGGATTGATACTAAAAGTGATTTTAGCATGGAGTAGTAACTTTGTGTGACTAAAATGGCTCAAAGTCCAAGTAAAATTGTGACACTGAAATGGAAAAACCACTGGGTGATAAAATATGCTTGTTAGCATCGAAAATGCAAGTGGTGAACAATGCAGGTATTCCCCAATGAAACAAAATTCAGGGAAATGAGTATAAATAAAAACCCAAACAAGCTCTGATTCGTACAAACTTGTCCTGCACACACCTTGAAGAAATATTGTGTTCGCTGTGATCAAAAGGATCGTCTGCAGTTTCCATATGATACCATCACTTTGTGGCTGGCAGTTCACGCTACAGCTCATGGATACAAACTTTGAAGAACATTAACAATATCCCGTCCAACGACCCTGTGTTTTTTGCACTCTCTGTCTCGGCATGTCTGCTCAGGGAGAGACTTTCTTCTTCCTACCAACCTTCTCCCACTGAGAGGGTTTGTGACATTGTTCACACTGACAGAAGACATAACCTGGCACTGAAGTGCTGAGTAAACAAACAAACAAGCAAAAAAGAGTGCAGAATAGCCAAGAATAAAGTGTTTCTTCACACGGCCAAGCTTTTCTTGCTCGTCCATCCCATTAAGGCAGCAGGTCAGGATTGGAGTAAAGCACATGTAGGATGGAAAAGTCCAGTTTCTGGGGTTCCTTTTGAACATGGATTCCTCGGGGTGAAATCTGAGCCACAACACTCCAGTGTTTCCACTACTTCTTTATAAAGCTGCCGCTCAGACAATGCCTAAAACCCTGGGTAAGGTCTGACCAGCTTAACTGCTGATGCTTCAGATTTGTGTTCAAAAGACTGCACACAAATAGCATGGGACAAAAGGACCCACACTTGCAGGATGCATACATCCTCCAGAGGCAAGGCCAAGCGCCAGCAGAGTCATGAAGTTTATGTTAAGCATTGCACTGTAACCACATGCCCTGGAATGAATTACTGAGCTTCTTAAATGGTCATGCTAATGTTTTTACTTATGAGTTCTTACCTGTAGAGGTATGGTCTCATAATTACGGTAATTACAAGGCTTATGAGTCTCATCACTCAAATCACCTTGCTCCCTCAAGACATTCTCAAAATTGCTATCTGTCTGATTCCCACACACCGAAAAGGTAATTTTGGAGCAAAGTTTCCATAATGAAAAAATAACTCGGATAGTCAGAGGAAAGAAATACTCAGCTCTGTTATTCAAACCCCTCCTCACTTGCAGTTTTCCTGTCTAAGCTTACCGAGCCCCTTGTGAGCAGGGACACCACAGCAGAGGCAGACAGGGGTTGGTGAGGAGCACAGTGGGTGTGGGGTGTTGCAGAGTGAGAACTACAGCACCGAGTTCATTAACTGGTGCCTGAGTTAATGCACGACAAGAGATGGGAAGGAAGAAATATTTCTCCACAGTGCCACTGCTGGCGTTTCCAACAGCACTGGCCACAATACTGGGAGCTGCACTAAGGGCTGCACTGGCAGCGTGCTCAGGATTAAGGTTGCTGAATATTTCTTGGCTCTGATTTCTTTCCTTTAAAGTTGTAGAATCATGGAATTGCAGATTGGTTTGGGTTGGAAGGGGCCTTAAAGCCCCTCCAGTCCCACCCCAGTGCCACCCCAGGCACGGCAGGGCCAGCTCACAGTGTCCCAGGAGCTGCCAGCCCCAATGTCCAGCCTGGCCTTGGGCACTGCCAGGGATCCAGGGGCAGCCCCAGCTGCTCTGGGCACCCTGTGCCAGGGCCTGCCCACCCTGCCAGGGAACAATTGCTGCCCAAGATCCCATCCAGCCCTGCCCTCTGCCACTGGCAGCCATTCCCTGGCTCCTGTCACTCCAGGTCCTTGCCCAAATTCCCTCTCCAGCTCCCTTTTAGGTGCTGATATTAATTTACTATGCCACTGGTTACTGGTTCCCACTTGGATGCAGAGCGATTTCCTGTAACTTTTTGGAGGCAGCCATCCAGCCAGGTCCTTATCCATCCAAGAGTCCCTCCTTCAAACCTGTCTCTCCAATTCAGTGCCAAAGTCTGAGTCTACACAGAGCTAAGTAGTTCTGCTATGAAGACAGAAATTATTTAGAATGCAAAAGAAATCTTGTATCCTACAGGGATTAGCTGTATGCTTAATTTTGAAAGTTCAGAATTGCCTTATGGCTAAATATGTGCATGTGTGAAATCTGGAATTTGTGGAGATGGTGGCTGTTAGCCCCCAACACATAAGAGAAAAACAGGAGAAAATGTGAAAGAGGAATGTTTAGAAATGTACCCTCTTTCGCAGTATAGCAAAGAGATACAAAAACCACCCCAATTGTCTTTTGCAAGGTATATTGAATATATTTTGTATCTAAATTAAATGATTTAAGATATATGAATTCTGCTTTAAGACCCTAATTACCGCCTCTTTGGAAGTAAAGTGGAGGGGCATCCAGTGAGGAGGGAGAATGCTATAAATAGAAACCCCAACGAGAGGGCTGCTACTGGAATGTTCATGATACTGTGGAATCCAAACAAGCAGATAAAGTTCAAGAAATGAAATGTAGGGTAACACCAGTTCCACACTCTGAGTGTTGTATCTCATTTTTGTCTGACTTTGCATCGCGTACAGAACAGCTACAGTTGATGTGATTTGTGGCAATGTGAGATTTGTAAATGCCACCCCTTTAGCCTTTTCTGGAGTGAGCTGGAGGTACTCCATTTCATGTCCTCTGGAAAGGAATACTGCTTGCAGAAGGAACATTGGCTCCTCAGGAGCAACCAAGGGAATTGAAGGCCTTTCATCTCTAATAAATTCAAGCATGGTAAATCTTCAGGTGTTTTTTGATGACATGGTTCTTAACAAAAGACTCACAATTATAGCAAACTTATGTTTTTATAGCAAGTAAGCTTTTCTCTGATAATATAACCAATAATAACAAAACAGTAGGGGACCTAAATCTAGACTTCTTAATGTTGTATTTGCTGATCTGGTGAATATGGTTACAGGCTTGAGCCCTTAAAACACCATTTCACAGCTTCCCATTCCCAACCATACAGCCATATCTCTTTCAGACACCAGCACTGTGGCACCTGGGAACTTGGTTTAGTGGTGAACATGTGGTACTGGGTTAAAGGCTGTACTTCATGGTCTTAGAGGCTTGCGCAACCTCAAAGGTTAACATAAAAAAAATAATTAAGGAAATGAACATTTCTTGGAAGGAACACCCTCCCTAAGCTCAATTAAAAATGCTTCTTTTTACCTACTTAATATCATGTCTCTAAATCCTTCAGTTCCAGTGGTCTGATTATCTCATCATTCTGCCTTCCCTTCCCTTTTACTCTGAACAATACCGTACATTTTCATAATAATTATACTTTGATTTTCTATACACCCATGCTCTCAGTTGAGCATCTGAAAGGGCCTTAAGTACTATTGAATTGATCTTCAAAACACCTCTTACATTATCGTCCTCATCCTCATTTCCCCAGGTAGGTGAAAATAGCAGCAAGGAGCCAGTGACCTGCCGAGGGCAATAGAAGGAGCAGGGGCAGAGATGGAAGAAGGTGAGAGCTGAAAATAGGTGACACCAACCTCACCAGTTGCCCCCCTGCATTTCCCCAGTTGATAAAACAGGGAAGAGCAGCTGTTCCTCAGCTTCTGGAAACCCACAACGAGCTGTCATCTCCGAAGGTGCTTTTAGCCACTTCAGTGTGTAAACATTTTCCTGAAAGAAGGCAAGATAATTCACCAGACAGACAACATTTGTAGGTGTTGTTGCAAACATACAACGATATGTATTTTTACACGAATGAAAAACGCCTATTCATAAAGCCACGGTGTCTGACTGTGAGCAGGTGAAGGGACAGAAAAAGTTACCAAGAGTTGGGATAAAAGGGATTAAACAGAAAGTGACCTGGATTTGGATAAACTGTAGGCATGGCAGACAAAAGAAATTAAAGGCTGGGAAAACAGTGCTTGGGATTGCTGCTGCTTGGGTGGGTCTCCTTTGAATTGGTGCTCGGGGGCACATTCCACTATTCTTACATGCAGAATAACCACCTCTCTGCCCTCCACAAATCACGTACAAATGTATACACTGTACACCGGGGACCCGCCGTTTAATTTTACATCTTATTTCGGCTTTGTTTCTCGAATTTTGCTGTTTCTATGAAAACTGCTGGGAAGAGAAATCTGTCTCTTCAGCATGATTTAGTCTGGGTCTTGCAGAGGACTTACCCGGGTTTGTCATTCCTCAGGTGTTGCGGCCCCACCAGCAGCCCGGATAATGCAGAGTGATTGCTGGGCAGAATGAATTCTGACATAGCCTCGCTGACTTCAGCAGAGCTGCTCCGGTGGTGAGTTTGGCCCGTGGATCCCATTGTTATGTTAAGGAGCTGTCAGCGCCGTGCACAGATCAGGGGAGCTAAGGCTGATGAGCTACTGGAGCTAAAGTGTGCTATTTCACAGTGTTATTAAATACATCATTCAAATTTCGGTGACAGATCGCTCTCAGACTCTTCCTGACTTCCTTTGACTCCTGCTGTAGTATTTACCTGGTGAAAGTGCTGCACAATGGCTGGGGCTGGGGATTGGAGGTGGTTTGGATAACCTCTACCCCCTGCCCCGCTTGAAATCTCCCCTGTGTGGTACAACTGTGCTGTAGGTAAATACTCCAGTGAATCCTTGTGCCAGGGTAAATTTGGTCAAGTGCGTCAGTGCGTTTGGGAGTCATGGACTGAAAGTGAGAAATTCAGAGGTAAGTATTGGAGGGCACAAGAGTTCTGAAACTGCAGGAACCTGGTGTTGAAATTCTTCAGACACGGTTTGGAGGGTTGGACCCCAGTAAATCCATCTTTAGCACACACTTCTGCAGTGGAAATTGTCAGTGGTTTCAGGGTCAGGAAAGTATTCCAGCAACATTCAAAGGATCATCTTGCTTGATACATGCAGTGGTTACGCTGCAGGTTTCAAACTTTATCTGAATAAACATACAGCTGTTATGGGGGAAAAAACCCAACAAACCCAAACAAAATTTTATTTGATAATACCTCTAGTTTTATCGCTGATACGAGTTTTGTATGTTCTGGTAAATTCCTGGACTCTGTAATTCAAAAGAAAGAAAAAAGTCCTTGGCCTTGTCCAAATAATGATAAACAAAAGCATGAATGTTATAAATAAATTTATGTTATTTAACAGAGTATTTGGTGAAGTCTAGCATGGAGGTGGTATTTTAGCACACTAGAACTTCTTCATCTTAGGCAGCAAGTGTTTCCTGTGATGTAATAAAGAAAATTCTTATTATCAACAAATGGGAGAAAGAGGTATATAAAAAATGTATAGTTAGAGGGCATGTTATGTTGGTAACGACATTAAAACACAGGGATTTTCTCCGGTGCCACAACTGTTGCATTAGGAATGTTGGAGAGTACTAAAATGTTAGGAATTCATGGGGAGCGGAGGCCTGAAGGAGAGCTGCATAATCCCTTGTTTTAGCTTACTTTGTTTCTGCGTCCATTTAAGTCACATTTTAACAAGTGGCTTTGAAATGCACACGGAGAGACCATCATCGCCATGTGCTTGTGCTTAAGAGATACTTAATAACAATTTTTTTCCAAGTAAACTTGTAAATTTCTCACAGAAGCAGCTCCAGTCTGCTGCTCATAGACTTACGCTAGTGTTATAGGCATGCCTTCTGACAGCACAAAGCAGTTTAATTCCATTATTTTATGCCCACAGCCCATTGGATGTTTTCTAGGGTACAGAAGCCCAGAGTCACATCATAACCCCCTCATAACTCCCGAAGACCACCTCAACCCGTGACAATCCCCCCTATAGCCCCCCAAATCTCCCCAAATCCATAACTGCCCTATAGCTCCCTGAGACCCCCTCCAGAGCTGCCCCAAATTCATAAGCTCTTATAGCCCCACAGACTCCTCCTGAGCCCCCCAGACCCCCCAAATCCATGACAACTTCCCAGAACCTCTCCAAACTCCCCCAGAGCCCCCCATTCAATTTTACCCCATTAACATTGTTACTGTAGAACCCCCCTAGCCCCCCTAGCCCCCTATAGCACCCCCAGGCCTCTCTAGAGTCCCTTGAAATCTTTAACACCCCAGAGCACCAAGAAAACCCCCTACACGCCCACCAGAACCCCCAAGCCCCCGTAACT